GCCGGACGCCATGCTTTGCGGAGGTAGTATAACATACCTGTTCGGTTGTTTACGTGTCCGGATGCTTAAAAAGCGTCGCCGTAATCCTTTAAAGTCGAACGTGATTGCTACCGCGGCCAGGCTTAACACCAACGAGGAGCCAGTGTACTCCGTTGAGCTGGACGGCACTTGGAATGTCAGGCGCTGCCCTCAGCGTTGTTCGAGCTCAAAGTCTTGCACAATTGAGCTGGGAGATTCTCTGCATTGACGACCAGAACATGCAGGCATGGGATGCCCTAATGCACCCTTAAGCAATAGATAGCAACAATATCCCGTGCACACTGAAAAGGTGACTGCCCATGATGTCACAGGCGCAATTTGAACCGTGACGCAGTCCCTAACTCTGAGGTATGCAGGATCCTATGCGCCCGGACTCTTGTCCTCACCTACGCGAGAGCTGGCGCTCTTCTTGTATGGTGCCCTGTGCGAAACCTTGTATCTCCTTGTGACTTTGGCAATGGCGGTAGCAAACCAACAATTCAATTGTGTCAGGATACTGACGCAAGATTAGGATTTAATTTAATCACCGCAATCGTAGGTTAATGCATCATCTTAGGCAACCCCGATCTTGTTGACAACACTGAACCATTGTGCCAGTAGCAATTTGGTGCAAGCGCTGGGGATGATGGCCAGGTGGTGGATTCTCGTTGGGGAACGCACTGTCTTCTTTTGCCCAGGGCTTCTGGGGCCACAGCCCCAGACTTGAAAGCTTCCGTTCGAGAGCAAAGCCAGCCTTAGGGTGTTGAACCGGCTTCTTCGCCTTTGCCTCTTTGCTGAGGACAGTCTCTCGGCGTGAAGCTTGGCTCCAAGAAGGCCAACATTTGCCAAATCACTTTGATCTTGAGGTGTTCTGTTGTTGTAGACACAGCCATCATTTGCTGAGTCTGTGTCTGCTGGTGACCACTCAACAAAGACGCTCTCTCAATGACAACACCGCTCGGCTTATTGTAAAGAATGAAGTGGAGGCCTAATTATTTTTTCAGATGCTGGAAATCCGGAATTCTTTTGGGTTCCACAGATGGGCATGGGATGCGACTGAATGCATTGTCGTGGACAGCAGCTTGATGAGTCCTAAGCCCTAAGCATGCAGAGTTTTCAGCAGAGATAAAAGGGGGGGCTGGGCAGAAGAAGACGAGAAAGCATCCGGGAACACTAAGCGAGGGCCGCACGAGCTGCGGACCGAATGCCGCAGCTATTTACACATTTTACATGTCGTTTCGAACACTATATATCATGAAGGGTCATGGTACTGTACATTGTGCTATCCAAATGCAGGTAGGCTCTCACGTGTGTATTGATGTGCATGCAAGACCTCATCAGAATACGTATCTTGAAATGCCTTTCGATGAGAATGGATGAAGCAGGGAATTCCTGTCGAGAGCTGATGGTCATATTTATTTGCCATTAATGAACAACGTGTGGTAGGTTCCTCTTATGCGGCCTGCAGTGGAAAGGCTCATTTTGCCTAGCAACCTGGACATGGGAAGCAACCTAAACTTCTCATGTTGCCCTGGAGCATCATCAGCATCAGGCATTGCTGTACCTAATGGAGGTCCCGTCATTGGACCACCAAATGAGCTAATTAGTGCTGCGCGAACCGCAAAAACGGCACGCAGATTTTGACAAGCTGGTGTGCAATCTTTCGGCTGCTCCAGTAGCGGCACGTCAAACCGTGTACTGGGACATCAGCGACGGCACGCATGCCGAAGTTTGATGCGCCATGACTTTTCAACACGAAAGCGCAGCCTCAACCGAGTCCGACAACTCAAACCCAGGCTCGACAATGTGAGAATCCGTTGCAATAGCAAGGACAGCACAAGGTTCATGTCTAGAACGTGAGTTCAGGGTATATAACTGGGAGTGCGGCCATGAATGACACATGTCAACGCGAAGGAGTCGGGATTCATGCGCTGCCGGCTTGTGGCGAGAGCGCGTGCGAAGCGAATTGGCAAGAACGGAGAGTGATGATAGAAATCCTCATGATACGACGAGCAACGCAGGCACGCTGCATATGATTCTGAACCACCTTCATGCTTTCGACAATGGTTCCATTCACGATTGCGACATTGTTCCTTTCATAAACGGAGACCGTCCAATGCTTCCTTTACATTCCTTAACACAACGCTACTCGTGATGGAAACAAAAAGCACGGTAAAAGAGACCAGATCAAATTTCTAATTTTGTCTAATTTTGGCCGGAGGTCGTACTACCGCTGGCATATAGATCATAGATTATTCGCCAAACTGGCGCATTCAACATTCCGCAAATTCAGGCTTGATCGCAACTTCCTGTGTTACAATATGTTAGAGTTTCCTTGGTGTTTTCTTTCCACTTTGTTTCAGGACATTTGAACCTCGAAATCGACTGCACCTTACGTAGGCAGGAAGGGTGAGTTTAGGGTTTAAGGGTCAATTTTCCATTTGTGAGTCTCTGTGCTGCATGGCTCATGCCTCGCCGCTGCCGGCGTTGAAGGAGTCTCATGAAGGCTGATTTGGCCTAATTGTTAAAGTTCAGGATTTAGGGGCTTAGGGTTTAGAGGTTTACGACTCATCAAAGATTTTTTTTTATTATATTGAATTTGGAAATCTGGAGGCTGCTGGAAACCTTGTTTTAGGTCCTAAAATTTGTGTCCGGAGGTTCTCCTAGGGCCACCCTACCATAAACCACCATGAAACCTTAATTCAACGTGGAAAATCGCGAAATTAACGTGAAAAAATCGCGAAATTAACGTGAAAAATCGCAGGAGGTTTTTTCCTGCGCGCGAAAAACACAGAGCGTCTCGCATTTCGCGTGCCTGGCCTGCCCGCGGGAGGTGCCAGAATCGCGAATTTAACCCCCTTCTCGACGGCCTTGGGCGCCCAGGCCTGTCCAGAGGCAGGCCCGGGGGTCCGGCCTGGCCGTCCCACGAGACCGATTTTTCACGTTAATTTCGCGATTTTTGACGTTAATTTCGCGATTTTCCACGTTAATTTCGCGATTTCTCGCGCTGCAGGCGCGCGAAACGCGAGACGCTCTGCGTTTTTCGCGCGCAGGAA